CATAAAATCGTTAGCAGGTGTCACAAAAAGTGCTTCCCTTGATTTTGTTCACTGACAAACAAACATTTGAACACAGATATTTTCATATATTTATGAACAAAGCTTAGCTACAGCATTTAATGGAAAGGCGCAAAAAGCCGAGTGTACTGTAAGTATTCGCAAAAAGGTGCTACTTGGTGGCTGAGTAAACAAACAAAGAACTCGAACAATGACTTTTGAAAATATTGAAAGTAATCAGTAGCCATATCGGGTAGGTAAACATTAACAATGGACTGTGAATTGAATAACAATGGTGAGGAGATGACAGGTTTGACGGAACCAAAGTTGAGCTTTATGAACTCAAACTGTGTGTGGGTATGTATGTATGTGTGCATGAGTGTGCATATTTGTTTACAAAAGTGACCATTACTTATGTGACTACGTGTGTGGGTTTCGAATTGAATATGCCGTATAAGCGTATATTCTTTATCAAATAGAATTAAATTCAACTGAAAATTTCCATGCAAAGTTAAACATTTTCTGGCCAAGTGGAACGCAATTCAATTTAGCTCCATTTATGGAGATCACTCGAAGCGCTTTATAAAGCAAGCCTGAGGAAATACTGAGCCTTATTCAAGTTTAGGCAAGTTGAAGCTATTCAATTGAACTCGTGGAGTACTTACTGTATATTCTGTTTACACTTTAAAAACGATGAAAATAACTGCAAATATTAGGGTCCAAACAGCTAGGCTTTTACATTTTTTCCACTTACTTTTATCGATGATTACGATTACAGTAATCGGAATGCTAAAAATTTTCTAGATTACAATTACAGTAATCGCAATCCAATGTAATCAAAATGTAATCGTAATCCTAAGTGCCCTGCTCTGGTATGTCATTGTAAAAATGTTTGTCAAAATGTTTGAATTGAATTTGTAGCTATGGCTATCGCTACTGCAATCATCGTCATTTTTATCGATTGCTATCGATGGATAATTATCTATGTATTATCGATGCCGATAATTTTATCATTATATTTAGATAGTTTTATCGTAGCTACCATCGCCTTTATTAAGCCCATTGTTGCTGCTACGGACAATTACATACAAATGTGTTGATCGATGATTCCCCTTTATCGCTGTCATAGTTGTTTCTTATTCATATTTGCGTAGCTTACAAAACTACAACAAAAAACAGCAACTAAAGAATATCTACATAATTCTATTAGCTAAATAACTTTTTAAATTTCTGTTCGTCGCGTCACCTTTCAAGTAACTCCCAAGGAATTTTCCTTGAACAATTCGCAAAGTTTGTACTCAGTAAGGAATTAGACATTGAATCAATGCAATGCTAGCGATACTGTATTTTAATTAATTCTAAATATTTGTATTGATTTCGAGTTTTCTTGATCACCTCGTGCTTGCCACAAACTGGCTTAGCACTGCACAGACATTCCTAAATATGCAAATGTGTACACAGTAAATTGTAATATTACACGATTTGAGTAGTACCGCGATATAAAATACTGAGAAATGATTATATTTATCAATTTGCAGCCAGTTTTCTGAACTCAGTAACCCTGCATATCCGTTTGCAAGCAGTTCGAAAGCAGTTACGAAAAGCTCAATTCAAGCAAAGGCAATTCTAGTTCCACCTAAATTATATTGCAGCTATACAATCGTACATATATATCAAAGCGTATTCGCGTGTCTATATACTTATACATATATCAGCAAATAATATGCCAACATACTATATTGGTATCGGTGACATAGTGTTGCGCAAAACGTTATGAGAGCGCATGCGCACGCGCGTCAATGCAAGTCATTTGTAAATATTCTAAGTCACACTGCGGGCAGCAACCATAAAAACAAAAACTAGTAGCAGCAACAGAGGTGGCAGGAGAACTGAATGTTGTGCGACTGTGGCCGCTTTAACAGCAAATTGTTGTTTGGTTTCAGTCTATTGGCATTTTCGAATTGACTTCTTTGTTGAAGTAAGCATAAGTATTTTTTTAAGATATCAATAAATACAAAGTCGAAAGCACTTAGCTGAGTGGCAATGCGCATTTTAATTGCCTTCATAAAAAATGTTAGGCGGCATACATACATACATACATTCATATCGTCGTTTAAAGTACAAATTGAAGATAGAGGCTATTGAATATAAGCCCTCGATATTAAATTCCATATGAATTCCATTCGCAGACCCACAAAGTACTCCTACGTCACTAAACACTGGCATTAACTAATTAACTTAAACAAAAGACAGAAGCGACAAACTTGCCAATTCGCTACTGATTTCTTAAATGCAACGCGCACCACCGTATGGCCATACATACAAACACACACGAAAAAGCTACTGCAGTTACACCTTTGCTTACCGCCAAAAGAGCAAGCAAACATACATACATACATACATACATACATGTTCACGTTCTCACACCTGCAACAGCGAATACACATACACAGCTTAGACGCAGTCGCAATTCACTCGGTGGTGGCGTCAGTTTGACCTTCTGCATAAAGTTACCCCGCCAGACTATTGGTATTGCAAAAAAACGGCACCGAAAAGCAGCAAAGCAACAGCAAGAAAATAAAAATAAAAGGTATTACAAAAAACAAGAGCAATACAAAAGCAACACCAATAAAAACCAAAATTAAAATCAGTAAATACTGCAGAGCGCGCGCACACTAGCCAAGTGCAACGGCTAAGGCTTCCATGGATCAGCCACTGGCAACCGCAACTGCAAAGAAAAGATTGTGGCCGCGCTGTTGATTGCACTGCTGCTCATTTACTCATTGGTTGGCCGGAGCTGGCGATTCGAAGTGCTCAATAAAGCCAATTACAACAAAATCAAAAGCAAAGTGGGTAAATGGCTTCGATTCGATTTTTAATAAGTTGAAGTAAGGTAAATGGCAAAGAGCAGTAATCAATTTATGTAGACTGCAGTGTCAGTCTTTTGCTCCTACTTCGCGCGCTCTCACTCCACATGCTCTCTTGGTATATTTTGGTATGTGTGTATGTATGTATCTCAGCAGCACTTTTTTAAAGCTTTTCGTATTGGTTGAGCGCCAGTTATGAATTAAATTCAAAGCCAAAGCAAAGGCTGTTAGAAAGCCATATACGGTAAGCAAGTTTCTTCCGTTAGTTCTATTTTTGATAGTTTAATATTTTTGGAATTTTTTTTTTGAGTCAAGGAAATTTTTTGGAGAATGGTTAGTGATATATACGTATGTGCATTTGTAATTCATTTTCATTTATTTTTAATTCGAGTATTATTTGTCGTTTTTTTCTCATCTGGGCCATTCCACTGTGACTGGTGGTACATTTGACTCCAGAATGTAATCAATTGGAAATAAAACCAACACCTTCTAAGTACAAAAAAAAAAAAAAAAATAAGGCTGACATAATTTGAAAATTTGAAAATATATAAAATTGTAACTGGTAGGACAGGTCCATGTGACTTGTTTAAAGTAATTATGTTGAAGTAAAAGTAGACAACACTTACAGCTTCTTTTTATTTCATAAATATTTTTCAACAGATTGATGCAATCTAGTCATTTAGTAAAATTAATGTTGTTTTCCTCTTTTAGATGGAATAACACTTCTTCGTCTTATTTAATTTTATGTTTTCATTGTGTTTTATTTTACTTTATGTTTATTTTTATTTTTATTATTTTTCTTTCAGTTAGTTTTTGATATTTTTGTTTAATTTAATTTATATTAATTCATTTAAAGTTAAATCGATTTAACTTAATATAAAACACTTTTTAAATTTTCATTTTTTTATTTAATTTTATTCTATTTTATTGCATTTGGTTTTATTTAATTTTTTTATTTTAATTTTATTTCTTTTTTTATAAATGTTGTTTTAATTTAGCTCAATTTTATTTGCATGGTATATTACTATATTTCATTCCATTTCATTTAATTTACTTTAATGTAATTTTTTTAATAAGATTGTTTAGTTTTTATGTAATTAAATTAATTCTAGTTTATTTTATTTTATTCTATTTAATTTAATTTAATTTAATTTAATTTAATTTTATTTTATTTAGTTTAATTTAATTTAATTTAATTTAATTTAATTTAATTTAATTTAACTTAATTTAATTTAATTTAATTTAATTTAATTTAATTTAATTGAATTTATATTAATTTAATTCAATTTAATTTAATTTAATTTAATTTAATTTAATTTAATTTTATTTTATTTTATTTTATTTAACTTAATTTAATATTTCCATTCTTTGCTCTCCCATTTGCTCAACTATCCCCAAACGCGTATAAATGGAGAGCAAATACTCCTCTCACCGAGCTAACTTAATTATCTACCCTCGCGCTCTTCCTCCTTCCATCGCTAGCTAATCAAACGCCCCGGTTGTTGTTTGCCTGCTTGCCTCGCCGTTTGGCTGCTTGGCTGTTTTAGGAGCCGGCAAAATGAAAAAGTTGAACTGGGTCAACGAGCCATTCGTGGCGAATGTTTTAAGTATTTCGCAGTATTACAGCAGCAAAAGCTACAACAACAACACAGCAAACTATTGGCAGCATCACTATTTATCAAAACAGACATAGTATTAGTTTTGGCAGTAAATTTTGTTGTTGTTATTGTTTTAACACTCGCGCGCCACCACTATGCGTGCGTGTGTTTGTTTTATTCGCTATGCGCATGAGTGTTTGTGTGTGCTATGTTGTCACGATGCCGTTCATTGGGGGTTCACGACTTGACACTTTGGCATTACTAAAGCAATAGACAACCGCCAACAACAACAACAACAACAACAACCAAACCGTAAACAGGAACAGCCATTGTTTAGCGCAAAACAAAAAGCGAAACCTCTTTGTAATGCAAAATGTGTTGTAAGAAATGCAAAAAAGTGGCGAAGCATCATTTGCCATATGCAAATCGTAATAATATTCCTACATACAAATAAACAAACATCCCAGCATGCGACGATGTATAAAATGTATTTCTCAATAATTAAATGCTTAACATGCAATTCGTTTCTTTCACTCACCGAATTGTACACTTTGTTTCGTTTATATTTTTGATTTTCATTCAAAAATGTTGCTGGCAAACAGGTTTTTTGTATTTGGGTTGCTAATTTTTTATTTGCTGCTTTGGATTTCTTAATCGTTTGCTTGGATGTAGCACACATTTTGTGAGTTCGAATGCGCCCGGAATTGTTGTTATTTTTATTGTATAGAATAAAATTGTATAGAGTTGTATGCAAAAGTGCAATAAGGAAATTATACGAAAGAGACGTCGAAGTGCTTCATGAAGTTCGTTGCTTAAGTCTTTCGTATTTGGTTCAACATTTGGATTGGCCGAGTGTAGTAAGAACTTAACCATGGTACGAATATTGCATTTGTTTGTTCTAACACACATACATGTCTAATACTGTTAAATTAACAAAATTTTTAAGTTTTTTTATTTTACTAATACATTTACTTGTGCATAAATAACGGCTAGGTGTTTGATTGAAAATATTCAAAATAAAATACACCCAAATGCTTCTAGTGCCATTTGCTGTGCTCTAAAAAACTTTGAACTGTTTAGTTGCAGTTTGAAATTTACTTGCTTTATGTTTAAGTCATTAGTTCTTGGCTAAAATTACTTGCAGCTGCTGGCATGAAAAGAAACCATGCAGAGTTGCAATTATTTGGTGCGCATAAAATGGAGAGTTCAGCAGGTCAGCGATTGATAATAATTAGCCGAGATTAGAGCTCTCAATTGTTTTATTAATTCTCAGAGATCACTGATTATAAATAATTTAAAATGAAATACCTACATTAGCTTAAATAGCTCCGATTTTTTTTTTTGCTAAGAAAGTGTCTTATATCTATATCTATCTAAATCTATAACAAACTAATGTACCAGAGATTTATGAACACAATGTGGGGGTTCACTAGGGTGTTTGATTATTCGCCTTTTTTCCCAAAACCGATTTTCGATTTATTTGTAAAATTGCAATTAAAAAAAACCCGGTTCCCAATTTTGAAATCAAGAAAAAACCGGTTGAACCGGTTTTATTTTATAAAGTTTTCATACAGCGAAAATGCTTATGTTGGTATGAAGTCACGGCCAAAAACTTCAATAAAACTAGTAACAGTAAAAACATAAAATCAGCGAAAAAGTCTCTTGTGGTCTTATTTTAACTTTGTTTTTAATACTTTATTGCATTTTTTCTGGCTTATTTTTAGGATTTTAATAGTGCTCTTGCTGCCGTAGGCGAGTGCTTAGATGTACCTACTGCCACTCGGGAGACCCATGGCTAAATTTATGATCCCAGCAAGATCAAAAAAAGTGTTTTAAAATAACGGTGGCCCTTCGGCAGACCTCCGAGAAAATCACCCTAGTATTCACACATGTCCGGTTATCAGGTCATCTGGTTATGTGGTTATATTTATTATTCAGTTGAATATCGTAAAATAAATACACTGCGGAAATAAAAATTTAAGTAAGGTTACTTTTTCTAAGATATTTAAGACCCTTTCTTAATGTAAATATAATACACTTTTCTCATAGATCCCCTACACCCAAATTCATAAATAATAAAGAAAATTTGTATGAAAATGTCACTTTATAGAGCTCTTTAAATCTATTTTACTTTTTATGATTTTTAATATTTTGATGGGCATAATTTTTAGATTTTTATCAAAAATTTTTGGCCAATATATGTAAATTATAATTACTTATTATAATATCTTTTTGGAGCAGATATAAATTTTTTGCTTCGGTTCGGCTATTTTTTTGGGGGTTTCGAAGGATTTTAAAATGTTAATTAGCAGATTTCAGGATATTTATTATTTTATTTTCTTTTTTTTTCGATTATTTCGGGATTCTTCGCAACTTTTCTGGGATTTTTTTTCGGAACTTTTCGGGATACTTCGTAATTTTTTCGGCATTTAATGTTCCTCATTTGCAGAA